TCCTTAGGAGGTGCATTCTTGGATGTTCCTGCATAATACTGAAACAAATTAGATCACACCAGGATCATATGTATTGTTTAACTTCTAATTTTTCTGATTTTGCAGCTGGCAGCAACATGCATATCATTTTCAGGAATCCAAAGACATAATTTAAGAGAGTATAAGCCTCTTTGCAAATCATTTGGTGTACGTTGCAAAAACATGGGTTCAATCCAGATTAAGGTCCAAAGTATAGCTTCAATTGTGGTAATGGATTCATATGTTTGTGGTAATGGATTTCACATATGTTTTACTGCTCCTGAAATTTTACTTCACTCAGGATTAGGTGAAAAAAGAGGATGAATGTTATGTGTGCTACAACACTCTTCAAAGTGCAACAGTCATTCATATCACAGGCATCTTTCTCAAAACACCAAGTACTGCTTTCACTATTTAGTCAATTACTTTGTTGTGTCAGCTGCAAAATATATGTATAATCAATCAGCACAAGTAGAGATTAAAAGAAGGATCTACCTGCATGTATACAAGCACCGACTACAAGCAAAGTGTAGCCCAGACTCAGAAGCAGCGAACCAAGATTAACATGCCTGAGGGAGTGGAAGGTTGGAAACTGGGAGAGGAGTATCATCACTACAGTCACCATTGCTATAAAGTCATACAACTTCAGTGACCCATTTGGAGAAAGGTTTGAGTACATGATCTTGTAACAAGAACAACAGCAGGTGTCAGTTCAAGAGAAGACAGTTTAAAAGAATTACTGGCTTGTTAATAAATCTATGCATAGTGATAAAATAGGTATCGATACTTATGCAGAGCAAAGAAACCATATTCAGAGCAGATTGAGCAATCTTCATACCAGAAAGTAATTATGTTCCAACATGTCTTTATCCCAGTTATGAACTTCATGATGTTTTCACGTCTGTGCCTAGAAGACACATTGTGCCATGGAAGAGCATAATCACTCAATTTTGATTTCCAACATGGTTTTGAACTACAAGAGATATGCAGGACATGCAGACACTAATGAGTTGAATTTTCACAAATTGAAACCTTCTTTAAGTTTTATCAACAAATTTCTGTTCATTAATAAATTTAAGCTTTTCTAAGTTAGCACCTAAAGTTGCCATCAGCAAGGTATCGATCACAAAAAGCCCTTTTTTTTCAGCCATTTCGTATTACCTAATTCTGAGTTCTGTTAACAGATTTCTATTCCCTGTTTTTGCAATTAAAGGTCTCAAACCAAAATCAACAGACCCCTTGTCCGGCACATGAAGCTTACTTGCACAACCCCCAAATACAGAGGCAGCAATGACAGATTATAGATCAAATTGAACTGCCAATTATGATAATAAAGATAGCCAGAGCGCATTAAGAAGTCCTCTAAAGCTTCCAATACCATATGTTTAATCTGTCTGCACGCTACAAGAAGCAAGTGGATACCTATGTTGCTATACCTGTAGGCATTCCCCAGCAAGCAGAATTGCTCCTATGCTAATGCCTGTGTTGATGGCTGTCTGAATGAATATTACAAAATAAAACATCCATCCCGATCCTACAGAGTGAAACGCAAGGCCTTTAGTCAAGAATTACCGATACACTTCTTCCCAATAAGCAGGAGCAAGCAGCAAAAGAATTAGCAAACTTTAATTTGTTGACAGCCAAATGCTCTCATCAATGTCAGAATGCCAAAAATGCAGAACGTGAAAGCAAAATTGTTTGAAATGTAAAAGACACGGCTCCAATTAGCGACTGAAACATAACATGTATTGATGCTCCAACAATATAATGGCGCAGCCTAAGTTTCTCCAAGAGGCATTCATAGGACGCTGCACAAGGCGTTATTGCTCAGAGTAATTAGTTGTTATCCCCATAAGACCCTTTCAAAAATCTACTCCATGGTATCTCAACAAACCATGAACACTACGATTATCACCAGATATGTCAGGTTAAAAGTAAATTCCATAACCTTCCTACTAATCCAAAACTAGAAAGGAAAGCTCATTCACTTAAATAACAAATTGCACCCAGAAAAAGGCCATCAACAGGTCCCAGTATAGCTGCACATTTCTTCTCAAAAAGGACTCCACAGGTCGAGAACTGAGGCAAGGCATTTAAAAACTTCACATCAGAAACAGAGTACTGGTGCGTGCGAGTGTGTGTGTGTGAGAGAGAGAGAGAGATGAGCTAATGCGCAAAAGATGAGGTACCCAAGACGTCAGCAGCGAGTTCGCGGAATCTGATGTGGCGACGTCCAGACTTCTCACAGTGATCAAGCACCAAGGACATGAGATAGTAAGAGTAGAACGTAACCGCCCCCATCACCGTTAAGCAGAAAAAGCCCAGACCCCATCCAAGACCTCGGAATGCGTACGGCAGCGTCAGTATTGTGGGGCCCACTATCGCTGTCGTCAGATGAAATCCCGCATGCCACCACTCCCCTGGCCAGACCGGAAAAAGGGAGAATCCTCTGATTAATAGAAGAATGCTAGAACTAGTTAGTACAGACTAATCTTGCATTTGATCTTCACACAAAATCCTTCTTACCTTTGGACTCCAAAACAAAAACTGCGCCGGCGTCGTGCTCCCGATTTTTCTCCGGTATAGATTGATCATCCCGTGGATTTTCTGGCGCCATGTATTACAGAACGTATCAGTACGTGCAAATATATGTATGCCGGTTTTAAATTTATATCAGTTGATCGTGCATGTCACTGGGTCGTCAGAGGAGAAGAATATATAAGAAGGAGGATACGGGGCTGATTGATCGCGGTCGAAGGAAAGGCAGGAAGGATATGGGGTGGCTCGTCGCTGTCTGAGTCTCAGGAAAAAACAAAATAGAAAAGAAGCCCACCAGTGGGAATGGGAATACGAATATAGTATGCATCTACATCCTGCTTTAATTACTAGTAGTTTATATATAGAATATGTCCTTTTTATTTTTTATTTTTAATCAGAGTATAGCAATATAGGAGGGGATGAGATTAGAACGAGGCAGCTGGGATGACGGAATTGCCGAAAGGGAAATTTTCACTGTTGTCATCAATGAGAACGACGACTCTACAATGAAATGGTTGACCTCTATTATAGTGGCATGATGTGAGAAGCCTGACGAAGCCGTAAGCCAATGGGTGGGAAACCAAGCCATCTTAGTTGTCGCGCACAAGCAATTGCATGGGCGGAAAACAAACCCTTTTAATTCTAGGAGCACTACAATATAATATTTGAAAATTGAAAGTTACCATATATCTATTGAAACTACAACACTTGAAATATTAGGAATAAATAGATAGAATAATAGTAAGAGACGGATTAGGCAGTGTTGCGCTGCTATTATTATTATTAGTATCATCATCATTTTTTAGGTAGTCTTCAATTGTCACTATGCTAACGTTGTTCTAATTTTGTGAGAGAAGAGACAAAATGGAAGACTTTCAATTATTAAGGCTTGTATGGTTTAACTCAATTTACGCCCTAACTTAGAATGGTTTGAGTTGCTGAAAATGAGAAAGAGAATCTCTCAGTTTTCCGGGGGGAATTTGTAGCTCGTAGGAGCTGGAGAGAGTTGTTTTATGGTGGGTGGTGGCTTAGCAAGCAAATACTACCAGTAATCAAAGTAAAGAATCCCCCATGCAGTACTCCTCACTCGCCCCAAGGACTCTTCCCATGCCCATGCCAAATTAATAGAGAGTGAAGCTGTAATTAGCATCTTTTTCCTGGATTATATATTCTACAGTTTCTGCCGAATCCAACCAAAAATAAAATGAGTGGTGTACAATAATATTAGTACTGTGATGATGGGTCCGTCTGATCTGACGACGACAAGGAATAATACGCGGAAAAGGAAGGCAAAGGGGGAAGCGGAGAAGCAAAAGCCTTGCGTTCTTGGTTTTTTGTCCAAATTCACGATGGCAACCCGGCAAACACAAACTCAACCTCCATGAGACGGAGACGATCATTGCGGCCACGGCACCTCTTATTGTCGATTTCCCACAAGCAAGTAACAAACAAATTTCAAGTGACGTCCAAAAACATGATGATGAGGTGAAAGAGCGAAGACCAGAGGCAGAACCGCAGGCCCCAACGCATGGTTTGTTCCCACTTCCCACTATGATGAATGGATTGGGATTTGGGGCTTTACGGTTTTAGGCTTTTAGGCTTCTAGCTCTAGGTGTGGGTGCATCTTATTTCTTAGCATCATTTCTTGCCCCTCCTAAATTTTGTTTCATGATGTATGAAAAAGAGAGGAATTGACAGCTATATAATAAATAAATAAATAAGAATCGAAAGTCAGCAAGCAGTTTTACCTGATACGAGCAAAGGAATACTCCCTTCTTCTGGCGCTCCGTCGGAGGACCGTCGGCCCATCTTTCCGGTTCAAGCTCTGAGTGGCCGGCGATTTTGGAAAGGCTTGCTTTTGTTGCCTTCGGCTAGAAGTAGAATAACTAATAGCCTACCTAGCTTCCTTATTTCGATCTCTTTTTAGATCTGCTTGGTGAGTCGTTACAAGTAGAGCATGAACGAACGATTGAAGTTTAGTAGTCCTAATTTGGTATATGCAGTTGGGAGTTGGCATCCATCTGTTACGAGAAGATTGTAGAAGGCGTTGACATTGGCGGCACATTTAGGAGGGGAGGCATTGACATCGACGGCGCATGTCGCGCGACTATTAGTAACTGCGAAACGTACCTCTACCTCATCTTTTGGAATCGCCGACAGTAAAGTCACAGAACACCAACCTATACCTTTTTCATTAACCTGGTTTTGTGGGCCTTGGGCAGCCCTATAGGAATTTGCCATGTATATATATAGCTAGTGAAGAATCCTGGGCCTGCTGCTGATTCTCTAGTTCCCAATTTTAACGCTTCTATGCTTTAATTTATAATAATTTGAAAAAAAAAGGCTGGCAATTCGCACTGCAAAGCTCACAATTCAACTTCTTTCATTTTTTGTTTCTGATATTCTTAATAACTGGCAAAAAAATTTTATGAAGAAAAAGCCACTGTAGAACTTTAAGGACTCCTTGAAGTTGTGCTCAAACTGTCTAACCAAATGATTGTGTACAGAAATGTAACATCAGCATTAAGCTCGATTACGAGCAATGCCAAATTTATGTATTCGAACGCAAAAGTAAACTGTATTGATATCGAGCTTTGGTTGGTAGCAATTAAGACTAGCGGAACTTTTGGTTCGTTAGCAGCCCACATGGCCAACAGAACAAATTGCAGACAAACGGCAAAATCCCCTGGGATTGTCTACCACCAGAGCTCGTGTTCCATCGATTCCTTGTCACATGCCTGATTGCTTTTGCAGCTTTAATCATTCCAACTTTTCCTTCTGCTAAGCATAACCTTCCATGTAACCGGGTCCGATGAGCACATCAAGAGTTCAGTTGTTGATTTCAGGCAATTCTTCCAACAAAATCTCCTTATTCCAGTTCATTTTGGTTGACTGCCAGAAAAGGAAGGAACATGTTGCCTTCTTGGTTTGTGTCTTGGCAGTTAGGACCTTCTATGCATTCTTCCTTGTGCACTTCTCCTGCATTGTAGTAAAGCATGCCAATTCACCTCGCTCAGCTAATTTCAGAAGCTTAAAATTAATCAGAAAACAAGGGAACAATCATTATTAACAGACCTTAAGGTTTTTTGGCTTCTCTTTCTTTGAAACATATGCAGGGCTTCTCTTTCTGTGAAACATATGCAGGGCTTCCTGTTGAAGCGCCATCACCTTTCTCCTGCTTGTGAAGTCCCATTCTACGCATGTACTATTACTTTTTCCTCGATACCATCCACAGTTAACAAATTTGTTTTGCAACTCAGAAAGTTTGTTTTGCCAGACTTTCGGAGATCTCTTATCCTGACCTCTCAATATATTTTACAAAGTACAAAAAGAAGTAAGCAGCAAAGTTCCCCCACACTCCCAGTCGAGGGACTTCTTATGATTATAAAGGACTTTGCACGTATATGAGTGGCCCCTTCCCCATCCTCACCCATGTCCACCAACATAACAAAACATCAATGGTAATGGAGAGATTTCCAATGATTTAAAAGATTTCAACTTAAACAGGAGAAAAAGGTCGAAGCCCTTAGCAACTTAGAATTGTTGCAGCCCTTTGTCCTTTTCCTAAAGAGGACCAGCAGATCTACATTTGTTGACCTCCAAATGCAATTTCACATCTCTACAGCAGTCACGAGGATCCTACCAAAGAAGTAAATATTAAACAAATTTGTCCCACATCATGATATCACCTGAGCTCGGACATAGGACAGAACTCTTTCAAGAACATTAGATTCTCCGCCTATTGTCAACACGTGGTCTTTTAGACGACTGAACTTCTGAATTGTCAGCGCTTGATTGTATCTCATTAAGTTTCTCTCTAACCAGGCGAACTGTTTGATTCATAGATTCCAATGGGAAATACTCCTTGTCAGAAGAAACATGAGTCACGGAAGCAGAACCTCCACTTCTAGCAGTGTAATGAGAGTCTCCAAATTCCCGTTGTTGCAACCCCAATGACTGGTCTCTAGCTGATGGCCCATGACCATACGCTGCAGAGGCATTGGAGCTCCTAGGTTTCAACCGTGCAGGAACTTCGTTTCTCCTCCCTTCTAATTTCTCCTTGGTATCGGACAAGCTCTCGAAATGAGGTGCATATGAAATCTGCAGCCTGTTCCCCAGAAAAACAAACTCATCCAACTTCCTTTTAGCAAACCTAGCATTGTCAACCTGATGAAACTTAATCCAGTAAACATCGGTAAAGGGCTCACAATCTTCAGCATCCATTGGTTTGCATTCTTCAATCTGCCCATATGTTGAGAAAAGTCTCAACAATTCATCACCACAACCCAATGCTGGAACATTCTTGACAACGAGGTACTTAGATTCATCGCAAACTGTATAAACTCGAACACCAGGAGTCTCGCCACGGTAACGAGGCATAATACCCTTAAATTTTCCTTTCGCCCTCTATTTCAACAACCTAGAAACAAACCCTTAAACCTAATCAGAACTTTTGAACCGTTAAATTTAGACTTGACTCAATACATGAAACCCGAATAGAATAATAATAACTAGATTGAAACTAGACCAGGATTGGATAAACTAATCGGCAATCCCAAAGCAGTGTATATGGGAAAAAATGATAAGAGGGAAATAGAAACAAAAATACTTAAAAATACTGTACCTCCCTCGGATGAGGAAGAGGAAGACCATGCAGGGTATTTTGCCTGTGTGTTGACGACCTTGCCCATATAAATCAAATAAAACAAATCACTACTAAAAGTTTTTCATAATAATAGTACTACGACAGGCGTGGGAAATCTGGGTTGCCTTTGCCTTGGGGGATGCATTGTTTATGTTGGTAGGATTAATTCAGAACGTTATCAAATCACAAGTTTCAACAAATTGGTCTGCGTTAAAACCCAAGGCAACAATGTAAATCAGAAAAAAGTACTCCTACGTAAATGAGAGGATTAATATACAAAAAATTGTAGATGAATTTTAAATCCAAAGGATCAATATTCAGAACAACGGTCACCATGTAAAAGGAAAGCGTTCCGACATTTTCTGTAGGTTACTGATTAGTGGCATCCGACAAGCAGAGGCTTTGAACATCATTGAACTCAAGGGCAACAACTCAGTTAAGCAGAAACATCATTTTAACAAAAGAAAGAGAATGCATTCGAACTATTCGCCTATACAAGCATAAAAAATATAACATAATCAAATACATAATAAATAGCACAAAATTCGACAAAACTCATGCAACATAAATTAAGCAAACATCTCATTAAGTCAAAACCAATTTAAAATGCAGCTGGCAGAATAGTAAGATCTAGAACTCGGTTTAGTTCTCAAACTTTTAGAGCAAGAAAATCACACTTAATCGAGTGTATAAAAGTCATAAGAATTATTAGGATATCCAAGAGAAATACATCAAATAGTCAAACGAATCCTAACTAGTGCCAAACCTAGGGTTTTAGCGGTGCAACTTTCAAAGATTGAAGTGAATAAGCTCTAAGTTAGATTCTCAAAATGCTAACTGTAATCGGAGAACATACCGCAATCAATCACTCTGAACACAAGAATGGCGGCAAAGAGACGAAAAAGGAATAATTCATGGAAGGAAGGCAAGGTGGCGGTATATATGGGTCGCCGGAGGAAAAGAATAGACGAACTCCGGAGCACGCGTGTAACAATGGGGAAATGGGTTAGATGGGAAATTCACAATTGGGCTTAGTCTTTAGAAAATGACTCTCCAAACATGCACGCTTGGACCTAGCAATGCGTGGAGGTCTAGGAGAATTTTTTTTTTTTTCTTTTTTGGGGTCCTTGGAGGTAGGGCTGTCAACGGTCCGGTCCAGACCGACCTCTCAACGGACGAGGGGCCTGGACGGTTGTCAGATCCAAGCAGTTCATGATTTGGATGAGATCTCAAAAATTTGTGCGGCTCATATCACGTCTTGTAACTCGATTTTCACACCGTGTGGGACCACCGAAATGTTGTTCTATTGTTACTCGCTGTTATTCTATTGTTACACCTTGTACAGATGATGTTACACCATGTACAAATGGTGTTACACCTTTCTGAGCGGTTGTTCTGACAACTGCTCCAGTCCCGCGTCCCCTGCCAACATTTGTCGAGTACGGATAGAGATGTAGACCCGTGATTCGGATTCGGATTCGAACCCATTTTATCTAATAAATTTACGAATCGGATACGAAACATGTTATTTCGACCCGTATCTAACTCAGACCCGTTTTAATTAATTAGTAATTAAAAAATATATACCTATATATCATAATTATTCATATCAATAAATGTATTCCCAAATTTTTCTAACCCTAATACCCACTCCCCATCGCCGCACTGCCCGCACCGCACATCCCTTCTGGCTTCTTCCCCTCGGTCCCCACTCTCTTTTTTCTTTTGCCTTGCCTCCCGCTGCCTCCGCCAGACGCCAGTGAAGTGACCAGTCCGCGGGAAACCGGCGACGCTGTCTGACTCTCTCCATCTCCAGCTCCAAAGAAACCGCCGGATCTGGCCAGCTCCAAGGAAGCCCAGCTCTTGCAGTCCCACTGGTATCTTGTGATGGTAGTGATCATAAGGGCGGTTGGGCCGAGTCACAGCATTGACCCTTCGGCAGGTGCTCAGATTAGCGGTGGCAGTGGTGGGCGAGAGCCGTTTGGGGTTTACAGAGAAAGTGGTGCTGCTGTATGGTAGGATGCGTGCATTGAAGAGGTTTCGGAAGGTCAGTTTGAGGAGGGGCGAGTTTGGGAGGAGAATCGTGCCAGTGGGTTTAGTGAGCAGCATATCCGACTATCTTGTTCCTGTCATTACTTATTTCTGCTGTCTGTGATTATTATCCCATGGCCCATGGGAAGCCTTGCTGATTTGCTGGCCAGTAAGTTTTACGAATCAAAGATATGACGCCGGCCAATACAAATGACTGATAAATAACCAACCTGCTTATTGTCTTCTTGTAATCCCTTAATATTAAAAAGATCTGTGCGTAATTGTCTTTGCTTTTGTTTTCATTATACCACCTGCCTCCCGCCCAAAAAATGTAGCATGAACGGGTTTTCGACGGGCCGGGTAGGCCCGACCCAGATCCGAGACCCGTATAGAAACAACAGGGACCCGTCGGATATTCGAGTCGAATCCGGAACTAATGCAGTATAACGGATCCGGATTTATTCATTTCAATTCAGGCCCGGCCTGTTGACAGGCCTACTTGGATTTTTGTAAAGCCTTAGGGATGGTTCTAAATTAATCACTTACAATTGAAGATTTGGATAGGAAATTAGGGATAGAAGCTTGATCCTATAGGCTAACTCCATGGGTTTTAATTTCCATTACAAAACCATCTCTCTTTCAAGTTCGGATTACCTATTGGATGCTTCTACTCACTAAACTTAATAGTTAAAAAAAAAAAAGTAGCCTTTTATCAATACATACACCATGTTAGCACACTGTGTATTGAGTTTTAAACTTAGTAAAGACATAGAGTTTGCACGAGAAAAATTCAACTAATGAAGGATTAAATCAATATTCTTTTTTTAAATCATAATTATCTTCATTTGTGTTGGGTTAGAATTGTATCTTATTAGGTTATAAGATTAAAAAAATGTGTTATCGAATCCTCTTACTGTATATATATGCCATCAAAAACTCCTCATTAAAATCAAACCCTAACAAATAATCCACGATCATATAATTGAATTAACCAACGGGCCGGATTCGGATAAGCGCAAGGTATTATCCTGCCCATTGCCAATCCTAGATTTGGATGGAAGTAACCAAGAATCGTTTTTTTTTGGAGCTCAGTTGGAATTCAACTATCTCTATTTGTACCAGCAAAGCCTTCAACGGCCTATTACACGAGTACAACAACACAATAGGCAAATTGACTAGTTGGCAATCCAAGAAATGTCAAAACCTTCGTGACACAACCAAATTTGTACTAGCATTCATTTGATTGTCAGCAATTGAAAACATTTCCTAAAAGCACAAGTATCTCATAGATTACCCACCCAACTACCATACTTCTCCTCCTACCTGATTGTTCAATTGTCAGCAGTTGAAAACATTTCCCAAAAGCACAAATATCTCACAGACTGCACCCGTTCATTATAGGCTACTCTACCCATTAAAGTCTAAAGACACATAAATTTGAAGAAGAAACAATTAGCATGCATCTAAGATGTTCAACAGAACAAGTTGAACACCAGCACCAACACTATATCTAGTTTTTCTGGTTCTCTGCCACCAATTTTTTGTTGTATTCTTCCACCTCCTTCTTGTATGCCTCCATAGCTTTTGCAGCCTTCTCATTCCAAACTTGTTTCTCTTCCTCACTTAGTTCCTATGAGGATTGCAAATTAAACAAATAAATCCCTGAACTAACTGGTAAACATATAAAATAAATACAGCTAAAGAACACATACTGGGCGGGGCTTTGTGTACAATATATACCTTCCACTTAACCGAAATGAGGGCATTAAGGGTGGAATTGTTGATCCCAGGCCTTTCTTCCGACAAAGTCTTCCTGGCCTCTTTGCTGCATTAGTAAAAATCATAGAACAAAATGCGTTCATTCCAATTGAGTCGTTAAAGAACTATCACACTCTTTATCAATCGTTTGGTTGAGAGACTGAGTAGTAACCTGAAGAGGAGGAATGAAGATGCTGGCTTCTTTGGCTTGTTAGGATCAACATCCTTCTCTTCCTTCTTCTTTTGGCGCTTCTCTTTTGTTTTCTAAATTGTTAATGAGCAATGCATCTCTCAATTATATATATATATATTTATATTGGCTTACAAGTTTTCATATGCTTCAAATAAATCAGGGAGGGACAACATGACAAATAATATATGTAACACAAACCTTAATAATGTTCTCAGCTTTCTCTTTCTTCTTGAGCAATTGCAACGCTTCCTGCTTTTGAAGTTTCATCAGCTCTTCCTCTTCCTTTTGAGATTAGCAGCTTCTTCCTCTTTCCTCTGCTTGTAGAGCTCGATTTCAAGCAAATACTGCTCCTTGTTCTTGTTTGCAATCTAGATATCATTGCAGAATTTTTTCAATACGCAAAAACCCTCAAATCTCCAACAAACAGAAGGACTGCATCTAGAAGAAAGGTATGCATGTTAGGCAGGGGAGTAATACCTTCTCGTAAGGTGCTCTCTGCTTCTCCGTCATGTTCTTCCATTCTTCACCTAAGACCTTTGCCACCTAATAACATATCCCACCAATTTCTCAATGATGAATTCTACAATTTTTATTAACAAAGCATATAATCAAGCTGCATTTCATCAATCACCTCCAACACATTTTTGTTCTCTGCAAGCAAAGTTGCGCGTCGCTCATTCGAGTACAAGAAGAAAGCCGTGAGTGGTTGCTTTGGTTTTAAAGGATCTTTTCTTTCCTAAATACAGAAATCAAAGCAGACAAAATCAGTATAGAAGTTAAAGGATCCTTTTCGGCCATCTATAATTTATTATAGCATTAAAAAAAAAGCAATTTAATTGGAACTTGCTTGTTAGTCTTCTTATTTTCTTTCTCTGCTTCCTGTTTGAACTGCATGTATTGTTCAAGCAACTCCATGGCAGTCTTCTGTTTTTGCTCTTCCTCAAAAGCTTCATTGCTTCGTGCTCGCGTTTCTCAATTCCAAACAATTTTCAAGTAAGCTTCCTTCTCCTCTTGGTACCTCTCCTCGTAAGGTTTCTTCTCCTCTGTGCTGAGTGTCTTCCATTTTGCCCCCAACAGAGTTGATATTTCCTTGAAATCTGCTTCCGGATTTGCTTTTTTCACCTACGTAACCAAAGATTATCACATCAGAAATTGATCCAGCTAAGTCATCCGATACTTTAACATGGTAAAACGGGAATTAAAGAAACCTCAGTGCGCATTCACCTCATTCCACTGATCTTTGCACCACAAGGCGTAAGGAGGAGATGGTCTCTTTGTCGCAGGATCCGCCTTCTTCTTCCCTTTCTTTTCTTGATCATTGTCTTTCAAAGCTTGCAACATGGGTAAGGTCTGACAAAAGGTTCAACAGAATGGAGAACTTTAAAATAAGATAACAATTGCAGCTTCCGCTGTTTCTAATGTCGCCTTTTGTCTTTGCAGTGGCATCAACTTCGATTTGGAAAAAAAAAAAAAATTTCAACCAAATATTTTCTTTGTATTAAAACCTAAAAATCGGAAATTTTTGAAAAAAAAATAGCAAAATCAACCCTTTCATCAGATCTTGTGAATCGTAAATAAAGGGGCGATCAGAACAAGAAATGAGAACCAAAAGCAGAAGAATTCAAAACGACACAACAGAAAACAAACCATGGTGGGCTTAAACTCCTTGACTTTCTGTAGCTTCTTGAGTTCGACATGCAGCTTCTCCTTCTCTTCCTCATTTTGTTTGAGGGCTTCTTCTTTAACCTTCAAGAGCTCCTCAGTCTGCTGTTTCTCAAGCGTCAGTTTCTCAAGCTTTTCCTGCATTTCCAGCAATTCTTTCTCAAAGGACAGTTCTGGTTGTTGCTTGGAAGCCTTTGGAGCCCCTCTCTTTGATTTTTTTCTGGGGCGAAAGCTGTGAGGAGAGGCTTTCATGGTTCTCTTTGGTGGGACAGTTCTCAGATGGTGGCGCAACCGGAGATGGCTGAGGGACAGTTCCGGCCACAATGTTGGCCTCGCTGGACGATGGGGTTTTCTGCTTTAGTGCTCTTCTGGATCTCCCTTTCTTCGTGGGAGCGGGTTCAGAACAAGAG